AATGAAAAGTGAAGAAAATCAAACATGCTAGGAAACAATTATTCCAAAGGACTAATGAACCATATGAACCCCAGCCTTCATGACCCTGAGACCACAAGAACTAGATGGTACCCGCTACCACTGATGACCACTCTGAAAGGGATCATAATAGGATGTCCTGGATAGAGTGGGGAAAATAATGTGGAACAAAACTCAACATCATAAAAAGGACCAGAATTACTGGTCTGATACAGACTGGAGGAACCCTCGAGACAATGACCCCTAAATACCATTGAAGCCGGGAACTGAACTCAACCCCTGTGGCTAACTTTTAACCAAACGACAGAAATTTTTACAAATAAACAAACCAAAAGACCCCGAAAGATTCTCTGTTGCACAGTATTTTGAATCATTTGAAAGTTATGGATTCACAGTTGACCTTCACCTTGGTCAAGAGCAGTAAAATCAGAAGAAAGTAGCAAAACCAGAAATGATACTATTAAGAAACAATACCTCCTTGGCAAGGGTAAAGTTACCAACCTTGAGTTTTACTTTGAAAGGAAGCAATGTGGGACTTGCCATATTCACAAAAGAGGGCGAAGTGAGTGGAAAGAAAATTGTCTAAAACCCGTTAGGGACTCTGCCCTTGCTATGCTGACTTGTCACACAGCTCTGTCAGCAAAGCCTAATTCAGAGTGTCCCTTGTGAAACCAGGACATGCCATTTTTGTTCAAAGGGGAATGACACAGGAGTCGATTCAGCTGTTCTTATTTCACAAAATGGATTTATATTTAACTGAAGAAATAAAGATGTTAATTGCAGTATTATTTATAACAGCAACATTGAACACAACCCAAGCATCCCAAAAGAATGAGAGGACAAAGAATGTCATACAGGCATTTAAGGCGATGGGTATGGAGACTCCGTGACAAGCTGGAAAATACTTCCATGAGGTGAAGTGAATTCCATACACCGTTGGATGTTTGTCCCTGTTATGGTTATGCCCATGAAGATGCACATGGAGGAAGGAGATGGAAAACGTTCTGAATGGTGGCTGTTAGTTGGTGGGTGCTGTCAAGTTGATTTGACTCATAGTGACCCCATGTGTGACAGAGTACGTGCACCCCATAGATCTTCTAGACTGTCACCTCTATGGGAGCAGATCACCGGGTCTTTTCTCCTGCAGAGTTGCTGGTTGGGTTCAAACTGCCAACCTTTTGGTTAGCAGCTGAGAGTGTTATCATTGTACCACCAGTGCTCCTTTTAATGGTGATAATGAATTGAAATACTTTTTTTTTGTTGTTGTTGTTGCTGCTCTTTTTTGTGGTTTGGGTGAAAGTTTATAGAGCACTTTAGTTTCCCACTTAACAATTCACACATTTGTTTTCTGCCGTTAGTTGCAACCCCCTGAAGTAAGGACACTCTTCCCACTTCCTCCCTGGGTTCCCCATTTCCATTCAGCCTTCTGTCCTGCCCCTTCCGGCCTTCTGAGCTTTGTTTTTGGGCCAATGCTGTCCTTTGGATCTTGGGTGGCTGATTGTTCTGAGTACGTTCCTCACGAGTCTTACCATTCATTTTATAGGCTGGTCTATTGTTTGTCTGAAAGGTGATTCTTGGGTGTGGGTTCAGTTCTAGGTTTGGAGGGTGCCTAAAGGTCATGGTCTTGGGGGTTCCATCAGTCTCTATCAAACCAGTAAGTCTGGTCTTTTTATGATTTTGAATCTTGTTCTACATTTTTCTCCCAATCTGTCCAGGACCTTCTATCGTGATCCTGATCAGAGCAGTTGGTAGTCGCAGCCGGGCACCATCTAGTTCTTCTGGTCTCAGGCTATTGGAGGCTATAGTTCACGTGGTCCATTAGCCCTTTGACTCCATTGTTTCCGTGAATCTTTGGCTTTCTTCACTCTTCTTTGCTCAGGATGAGAAGAGACCAATAGTTGCCTCTTAGACGGCTGCTTCCAAGCTTTTAAGACCTCAGGTGCTACTCACCAAAGTTGGATGTAGAACATTGTCTTTGTGGACTATGCTATGCCAACAGACCTAGATGTCCCCCAGGGCTATGGTCCTGAGCCCCCAAGCTAAGTCTGACTGTGGCTAAGAAGTGTTCATAACTTTACCCCTGTATGCTGTGCCACACACATGTCTGTATTTGCAGCACACACACAGACACAGATGTAGAAACAGCCTGTATGTGCTCATGGGCATCCTCCCCCTTGCCACCCACGCCTGTTCAGCTTGTGTGTCTACCTGTACATCTGCTCGTCGATGACTGTCTGTTGTTACTGTCATGCAGGACGGTGTATGTGACGATGTCGACCTTGTTGGTTTCCACTTCTGTTCACCTCTCAGTGTCTTCCCTTGGCCTTAGGCATATTGTGCTGAGCCTCCCTTTATTGTACAGCACCTTGCCCTTCACCTAAATTAGTACTTTTTTATGGAGGGATTGTTCTGTTTGCTTTTTAAGTCAAAGTTTTGTCATGTGAGATGACTTCAGAACTATTAGAATGTTTAGGAAAATATTTAGCAGGGATAGGGCAATCAGCAGACAGGGCCCAGATTCTTGAATTCCAGTCACGACTCTCCTCTGGGCTTGGAACATCTTTAAAGGACTTCGGTTCAGACATCTGTTGTGGACTGCTATCTTTGTTGGCTTTCTCCCCTCCAAAGATCATATCCTGGCCTCACATGTTGACAATGGGCTCAGATACTGACAGAAATATGACCTTGCAGAGGCAGACAGGGACCCCAAAGACCAATCGCTGGGACATGAAGGAAGTTCATGGGGACTGGTAGTGGAGCTGTTGACCTAAGTGCATGGCCAATGGGGCAAAATGTGGTCCTCCATGTTGCTGCATGGAGGATGATTTGGGGGGTGGTAGTAAGGGGGAAACCAGCATGCTGAATGGTGCTCTTGGGTTTTGCTCTCTCCTCCAGGTAGGAAGAGAAAGGGTCATGGAGTCTCAAGATTGGCTCTGGGTGGATAAAAGCATTGGAAGACTATTCAACTGAGCCTAAGCAGTGGCCACACTGCTGTCACCTGAATGTAAGTGTGTACCACTTACTGGCTAGAGACACTGAGTGTACCCTGATTCCTTACTCACCCTCTAGCCTGACCTCAGCTATTTTAAGGATTTGGGATGGGGATGGGATCGGGATCTTCCTGTCCCCCAAACCAAACCCACTGCCACTGAGTCAATAACAACTCATAGTGACTGACCTCCATTAGGGTTCCAAGGCTGTAAATCTTTACAGAAGTAGATTGTTTCATCTTTCTCCCATAGAGCAGCTGGTGGGTTTGAACCACAGAGCAAATGTCCTGACCCCCCAGGAGGAGTGAAAGCTCTACTTTGTGGTCATTGTAAGTTGTCGCCAGTCAGCTCTGACTCCTGACCACCCCACGCACAACAGAAGGAAACGGTGCAGGTCCTCTGCCACCTTCCTGATCCTTGGTGAGCTCGATCCACCGTGGTGGCCGCTGTGTATCCTGAGTCTTTCCCAGCCTTGGAGGCTTCCCTCCCAGCACTATCTTGGACCATCTATTGTTGAGATAGCAACAAACAAGCTCAAGGAAACAGGATAACTGGCAGAGAGGAAAGCTCTGGATAGATTCAGGACAAGAGTGGTGAGCGGACGGGGAGAGGCGATGCCATCTCAGATAGACTGGTGACGAAAGCCCCACTAATTCAATGGTATTTGAGCAAAGATCAGAAGGGAGGTGTGGGAGTTAAAGTTGCGTGTCAACTTGGCTGGGCCTGGTTGAGTGGCTGGGCAGCTGGATGTAGTATTCCCCACGATGAGACTGGTAATCAGCTCCATGGTGGAATCTACTGGGAGCAGCTGAGTAGCTACCGTACGGCTGTGGTCTGCTTCCTGTACATAAGAAGCCTTGGGATCGTCTCTAGCTGATGGCACGCTTGAACCGTACATGTAGCTGGGTCATTGTTCAGCAGCCTGCCATTGCTCTGCTGACCTGGGAGTTTCAACGGACTTGAATTCATGGCCTGCCATATGGGTTGGTAACATTGGGACTGTGTCTTTTTACCTCTCAACCTCGGGCTTGTCAGCCTCAGCAGCCAGCAGCTGAGTGAAGAAAAGCCTCCAGATTCAGTGGGCCCAGGAGCAGGAGGCAGAGTTGAGGCCCAAGGTTGAGGGGCTTTCACCCAGGCCCTGGATCCTGGAGCTTTGAATTCAGACTTAAAGCCTCCAAAGTGTAAGAGAATAAATACCTGTTTGTTCAAGCATCCCATTTGTGGCATATTCTTGTCAGAGTGGCACTAGGTAACCAGGACAAGAGAGCTCAATGTGAGGTGGTCAAAAGATGTAGACTCAGTGAATCATTATACCGTGCCACGTTGGTTGCCATCCTTCTCCAAATGATTCCACCACCATGAACACACACTTCACATCCCTCTAAGGAAGAACGTCCCCTTTCCCTCTCCCTCCCATCCCTGGGAACCACAAGGAATCTTTGTTTTCTATGCACGTACTATTCCCTGTAAGTGAGATCAGAGTATGGGTCCTTCTGTGATTGACGTATTTTGCTCAGCGTGCTACCTTCAGAGTTCATCCATATTGTGTCTTGCGTTGGGACTTCATTCCTCTGTGTGGCCGGGTGACATTCCATGGTGTGGATGGACCACATTTTGCTTAGCCGTTCATCCTGTGATGGGCATTCTGGTTGTTTCCAACCCTTGATACTCTTCTACAATGTTAACAAGAGTTCATCCCACTCATAATGTTGCAGTGTGAGGGCGCGAGGGCTGCATGGGGCACTGGGTGACTTGGTGAGAGGGAGGTGCTGAGGGAGATGTGCTGGAAGGGGGGGTGTGAGAGGCTGAACTACTGGCCACATTTTCTCATTTTTCTAGAATCATTTTAAATATCCACATGCTTGCTGTGGTCTTACAGAGGCAGGAAGTATTTCCCTGGCTCACTGACTGCGGGCATTTACCTTGGCCAATGGGATGCTTGCAGGAACAGCTCCAGCAGGGATCTGAGACGGGCATGCATGGCTGGACATCATGCTTACCTTCTACCATGGACAGGAGAAGGCTTCCCTGATTAACTCCTGCTCCTTTGCCATGAGCCCCAGAGTGAATGCACGTGGAGCACAGGTAGGTTTGGGGGTGAGGAGCAGCCAGCCAGACTCCTAGCTTAAAGAAGCAGAGACCCTTAGACAAGCCCAGCCGAGATCAACCAACCGCCAGTAACCAGCGGCCATTGAATCAACTGAGTCATGCCGCTCCCTGTGGGTCGGAGCAAGACTCTGCCCTGTAGGGTTTCCAGTGGCTGATTCTCCATAAGTGGATCATAGGCTGTTCTCTGGATGGACTTGAACCTTCATCTTTTTGGTCGGCAGCTGAGCATGCCAATCATCCTATCCCAAGATCCTTTGCCACTGAGATTCCATGGTTGTCAGTTACACAGCCCTAGCTGGTTGGTGCAGAGAGGAAAGCCATTGGTGAGAAAGATGAAAAATACTATTTTATCACCTTCTCACATCTGCCTGGACAGACCTTGCTCCCATACCAGAGATCCCATATCCTGGCCTTTCCCAACACCTGATTCATTTTTACCTCCCTCATTATGACTTGCAGGATAATGATGCCCTTAGGTACCTTGTAAAACGTTCATATTCACCAGCAGACAGGGCCATAACTAACACTGTGGCAAGACTTCAAAACTGAAAGGCAGTGGTAAGGAGGGCTCATTTATAATAAAGTGAAATGACTTGGAGGTGTTAGTTTTCAATTATTAAAGTCTAGTGCCAAAGCCACAGCTGTGCAATTTAGTGCCTAGTTATTTTCGCTAATGTTCCCCTGAGTGGTTGACATCTAAATACCCAGTCAGTCAATAGCTCTTCTGGAGTTCTTATTACACGCAGTGCTGTTTTTGGAGCTGTGGGGAGAATGTAAGAAGGAAAAAGTGCTCCCTGCTCTTTGGGAATTTATAATTAAAGTAAACATGAACCGTTAAGTGGGTCAATTATTCATTTAAAGGCAGGAAGAAGTGTACCAGTCAATCCTTCTGTAACCTCCTTTATATAAATTGTTATAATAGTTTGTGTTGCCTGAACATAACTTATAAAATATTAAACAAGAATAAAGAAAAATAGATTTCCAATAACCTAGCATAAAGATAGCCAATATTTGCATTTGATGCATAACTTTTCAGACATTTTTTAAAGCACACATATTTTTGAATGCTCATACATTTCCTTTCTAAACAAAAATAGGATCAAACTGCTTTTTATTTTCATTTAATACACCACTACCATCTTTCCATGTCAATAAGTATTGACCTACAGAGTAATTTTTATGCCTGCAAGGTATTCCTTTGTATGCATACGCCATGATTTGTTTCATCAATATTCTATTTATAGTCATTTCGGTTGTTTTTAGAGACGTCCTAGTGGTGCAGTGGTTAAAGCACTCAGCTGCTAACTGAAGGGTTGGCAGTTTGAAACCACCAGCCACTCTGTGGAAGAAAGATATGGCAGTCTTCTTCCACAAAGACTGACAGCCTTGAAGACCCTCTGGGGCAGTTCCACTCTGTCCTCCAGGGGCGCTGTGGGTCAGAATGGACTCCACGGCAGTGGGCGTGGTTTGGGCTTTGCTTCTGTGAAGATTGACAGCCTTGGAGACCCTGTGGGCAGTTCCACTCTGTCCTCTAGGGGCGCTGTGGGTCAGAATGGACTCCATGGCAGTGGGCATGGTTTGGGCTTTGCTTCTGTGAAGATTGACAGCCTTGGAGACTCTGTGGGCAGTTCCACTCTGTCCTCTAGGGGTGCTGTGGGTCGGTGTGAGGTTGTTTCCAAAATTTCTCTATTATGAAGGGCAATGCAGTTAACATCCTTATATACTCATCTGTGCCCAGTGGTCTACATATGTTCTTCCTGCTGTTGTTGGGTGTCCCTGCATCAGTTCCCACTCACAGTGACCCCATGTGACAGAGTACAACTGCCCCACAGGGTTTTCTTGGCTGTAAGCTTTATGGAAACAGGTCATCAGTTCTTTTCTCCCACGGAGATGCCGGATGGGTTTGAACCGCCAGCCTTTAAGTGAGGAGTTGAGTGCTAAGTTCACCACGAGGACTCCTTCTTCTGTCCTTAGGACACCTGCTTACAGTACGAGCTGGAACAAGAAGGCAGAGCTTCACCTTGTCCAGTCTCAGCTGGGACATGCATGTTGGCCAGGTCAGAATTCTGTTCTGTGTGCATGTCCACGAAAACACCGTATTGATTTTGGGTTACAGTAAGCCTCAGTGAGCAGGAATGTTCACAAACACGGAATTCGCAAATGACAAGGATTGGCTGTATCCCCGTGGAGATGACACGTGGATCGTGTTGCCACAAAGAATATCTGGCCCACAAAGCCAAAAACTCACTTTCATTAGTGTTCCCGACCTGCGCCTTTACAGAGAAAGGTTTTCCCTGGATTAGTTTGCCAGATCAATCAGGAGGGCCACACCAGGGAGAAGGAAGAGGCGTCCATTTCAATTCCTCAGCTTCGCCTTACACTTCATCGTTTAACCAGCAGAACTTTTTATGGCCGGATAAAGGGGCCTGGGCGCCACAAGGGTTCTGGACTGCTTTTTCTGAAGTAGATCACTAGGCCTGCTGTCAAGGGACCTTGGCGTGGACTCAAAGTCCCAACACTCTGGTCAGCAGGCAGCTGCATTAATTGTCTGTATCACCCTTCAGTTGCTGTCGAGGTGACTCACGGTGACACCGTGTGTGTCCGAGTACCTCAGACCCTGCTTAGGGGCCACCGTCCCAACCCAAAGGTGACAGGTGAGTGCCCCCCGAACGTGAGCCCCAGCCCAGGGAGTCCAAGCTGGGGGGCTCCTCTGAGATGTCTTGTCTGCAAACTCCTGGCCTTCCAGAACTTTCCTCCTGCCCGTTTCCACACTCAATCAATTATGACAGCTCCTGGCACCCTTCAGTAACTGTCTTTTGATGAACTTAGCCTGAGACTAACCACCATGAAACCCGAAAATGTTGGGGCTCAGACCTGGAGTGGCACAGCCAATAGTCCACCCGAGACTTCAAGGAGAAGAGAGTTGAAGTAGGTGGTACACCAACGAGAGACGGATTGGGTCTCAGTGACCCCCAAACAATCAGGGGTTCTTATACTAAAGGAAAGCAAGCCTCCACCGCCTCCTGTCCCTTGTCCCCGAGTCTCCCTGTCCCCATGCATCTCCCTATTCCAGGCATTTCACGTCACTGGGGCCACACATGTGGTTCTGACATTACCCGTGTCTGACGTCTTCCACTCGCATCCTGACTCCAGGAGCCACCCCGTCCCAGTGCATGTCAGAACGTCCCGTCTCTTTGTGGCCTGGTGGCATCCGCGGTGTGCACAGACCATGTGGGCTGTAGCCATCATCTGTGGATGGCTGGGTTGCCCCACAACGAGGTTTTAGAGGCTCAGTCTGGCCGTGAGGGGCATGATTGGCAGAGGGTTTATCTGGGAGCCACAGAAGGCTTGGCCAGCATCCGATCAAACAGCCACTTTTCTGAAACGGCTGGTTCAGCAGACGCCTGTTTGAAACGATGGGGACGTGCCCACGGCTCTGCCTGTGCAGGGCCCTCGGGACCAGCCTCAGGCCCCTCCCTCCACTGGCTTCATGCGGTGGCCACGCAGGCAGACATCCCAAGCTGTGGACTCTGCTCTGTGGCCTGCAGGTGGCCGGCTCCCCTGGGGTAAGACACCCTGCTGCC